CCTAAGCAGCCCGACTTCCAGTGATGAATTGGGCCAATTAAATATTGCCTTCTTAGGGGCTGGGGTTGTGGCTCAGTGGTAGAGTGCTCACCTAGCACGTGCAGGGCTCTGGGTTCGATCCTCGGCACCACATAAAATAAAATAATTGTATTGTGTCCAACTACAACTAAAAAACAAATATTAAAAAAATATTGCCTTTCATCCTTTCAGGACCCACTGTGTGTCCTACCATGTGCTGAGCACTAGGGACAAAGCCACAAACAGAAAAACTGAGTCCCTGCTCCCAGGGACCTCCCCACTCAGGGGAGGTGCAGGGAGACAGTTCAACAAGTAACCATCAGACAAACAGATAATTGCCAATGGTGGTAAGTGCTGCAAAGGAAGCTCAAAAAGGCAGAGAGACGAATAACAGAGAAGGGGGGCGGATCGTAGCGGGAGCTATCGGGGAGGTCCTTCTATTGAGGCAGCTTTTAATCCATGAACTGAAAGAGGAGAGAGACCAGCCATACAAAGGCAGGGCAAGTGGAAGGGGTGGAATCAGCCAGGGAAAATGACCGGATTCATTGAAAAAAAAAAAAAAAAAAAACACCAAAATCTCTGCTGGCCGCTGGTGGAGCGAGCGCTGGGCAGGGTCTGAATGGAAGCCAGAAAAACCAGGGAGGAGGCCATCGCTGTAATTTCAGGGGCCGGGTGGGTGCTGGGAGCTCAGAGCAGGTGGAGGGTGCTAGGTGGATTTCCCATCAGGGCTGCTGGTGGTGCTGTGGGGTGCCAGGTAGGGATCAGGAGGAATGCTGGGAGATGCCTTGAAAACCGGGGTGGGGCCATGTGCCTTGGCCATGTGGAGAAGGATGAGGAAGGCCGGTTGGGAAGTGGCCCAAGTTAAGAAGTGCTGGTGGGGATGTAGGGTCCCAGCACAGGGTCCCCCCTCTTTCTCTCTCCCCTGCCTTTGGGAATGGGTTCTGGTTCTGAGCTCAAGTGTGAAGTTCCCCACACTCGCCCTGGAGCTTTGGGAAACCTGATCTCTGGACCCGGATCTCCTGCCTCAGAAGCTTACAGCGGCCGACTCAGCCCATCTGGGCCCAATGGGAGCCTCTGCCCCAGAGCTCAGGATTTCTGTTCCCATGAGGACTCTTGGTGACCTCTGTCCTCCTGTTCCTGGAGGCCAGACCCAGGGGAAGGTGGAGGCAGTGGGGGAAGTTCTCAGGACAAACAGGCAGAGGCCGCTGGAGTCAGAGATGCTAAGGATGCCGGAGAAGAAAAGCCACTTTTTAATTTTGACCTCATTTCTCAATTTTCCCAGCAACCAAGGAAAACCTTACTTTGCCTCCTGGAAGTGGCAAGCGGGCACGGAGGGGCAAAACAGGACACAGAGGCTGATCTCCCTGCACTGGCTCCTTGCAGGGGTGGAAGGGCAGGGTATGTGGAGCCGAGGCCACCAGAGCAGCCTGGCTTTTCCTACACCCATCCTACCAGTGAGTCTCAAAGGACCAAGATGTCCCTCGCCTTGGCAGGCTTGGGAGGCACACAGAACGTCCTCTCTCTGACCCTCTTCATCTGGAAGTCCTCCTTTAGGTCTCACTTTGGTGTTCATAGGGTGCACGGAGACCAGAGCAGGCCTCTCTTTCCACACCCTGGACATGTCTACCCTGCAAGGCAGGCCTACAGTCTCCTTTTACAGATGAAGTCATTAGGGTTCAGACAGGTTAAGCAGCTTGTCCAAGGTCACCCAGCAAGCATAGGGCCTTGAATGGTGGCTGCAGCAGTGACAGGAAACAATGCCCCCAAATCCTTTGTTACAACCCAATGCCACTTAACACCGAAACTACGGATACCCAAAAGGATCAGATGAATCATCTCAAAGGACCAAATAAATGCCAACGCTGGGGGTAGGCAGGAGGTAGGGGCTCTGTTTTAGACCCCGTACCCACTGGGCCCCCGAGGCCTCCCTCAGCTGCATGACCCCTCCCTTTTGCCAAAGTCAGCTGTTTCTCTGTCCCTGGAAAATGCCTCTGAAATGTCAATTGTGGGCCCCCTGCCTCCTCCTGCAAGTCGAGTAGCAGCTCAAATATATTATACATATTAAAAGAATATATTCTCTGGCAGCCCTGAAGGGGATAATGAAACCTATATATATATATCTATATATTTATACACAATGGATTGGCTCCGAACGCTCTGAATACCCTCCAGCTGTGGCAACCCTTTGAAATATGACCCTGGAACAACGCCTCCCCCGCTGGCGGCTGGCGGGAGACATTAAAGATTTAAAAAAAGGGAAGGAAGGAAGGAGAGGAAGGAGAAGAAGGAGGCAGCTGCCTTTGCCTTTGGCTGTGCAGCGGCAAACTGTGTTTAAATATTAAAACCACCCATCACCGGGCCCAGCTGTCCGCCCCCTTCAGTGGCCTGGGTCTGCGCCAGGGCCTCCCGTGGCTCACAATGGTTGGAGGCTGCAGCGCAGATCTGAGCTCCCGCCCCAGGGATGGGGGGAGTGGGGGGGCTCCTCACTTCTCACACTCTGGGCTTGTCCAGGCTTGGCTGGGAAAGCCCCCCCCCCACCATGTGGGAAGGGGGCGGAGAATCTGCTGGATCCCAGGTAGAGATGGAGCTTTGGATCCTGACTCTGATGCGCCAGCTTTGGGGCTGTGTACGTGCCCTTGTCATTGGGGAAGTTGGGCTCCATCTCACGTCTGCAATCTTCTCACTTGTGTTATAAGAGGTTTGGATAGGATGGTGGAATTTCAGGAGTCTAGGAACCACCTGAAATCACATGCATCCTTGGGGTGGGGTCATTGGCCCCTCTCTGAGTGAGCAAAACCTCTTCTTCCTTCCTTCCTTCCTTCCTTCTTTCTTTCTTTCTTTCTTTCTTTCTTTCTTTCTTTCTTTCTTTTTAATCTCCACACTTGCACTTTAGGGTTCCTGGCAGGATCTGGTTACCTCTGGGTCCCCGGTTCCTGAAGAAGAGGCACTGTGCAAGCGTTCATTAATGATCAGAGATACAGGAAGATGCACCTTGTCCCAGGTATATAATTAAAGGTGATCAGAAGAGACCAGGAGACTGAAGGAGCTATGTGGGGGGATGCTCTAAGGGAGATTTCAGCATTTGGTGGGGCCTGACTGTGAGGTCCTTCCAACCCCAATTTTGGATAGTCTTAATTTTCTATGATTGACAGCTATATAGACCCTCAGCAGTGACTAGGGAAAGGCGAGGATGAGTGGTTTGGGGCTTCTGGATGCCCTAGGAGAGATGCACGGCTTTGCCTTCTAGGAATCTTCTTGGCGACTGTGGGCATCTTGCCACCTTGAGTGAATGCCAGGATTTAAAGATACGTATTTTACTGCGCCCTGAATGCAAACCAAATAGTTCATCTCCTCAAATGAAAAGGCGGGGATTTGTTCCTTCTCTGGAGAAGCCGGCGGGGCTGGACTCACTGAGATAAAAGGTCTCCTGCATGATCTCTCTGAAGGGTTCGCCAGGGGAATTTTGCCTACACCAGACTAGGATATTTGCTCACGCAGTGGAATCAAATCTCTGCCTAAGATTGGAGTCCCCTGACTGGAATACTCCAAGTCTAAGATCTGGGAGTCTGAGATTTCAGGATTCCAGAATCAAAGGTTTCTATGACTTGAAGTTTCTGAAAGTCACCATATCTAAGCCCCTGTAAGTCAAGAGCCCTTTAAAAGGAAGGTTAAAGGGCAGATGAGGAAGGGACTTTCTCTGGAGGATGTGTGTTAGGGTGCAGGTGCTCAGACTTGGCTGTGACACCTGTTTTTATTCCTAAGATAAACCACCTACCCACAGAAATCTGCAACAAAACAACAACAAAAATGTGCAGAAAGTAAAGTGATCTAGTTATTTTTCAACTTAGACAAATGCAAAATACTTTCCATATGTCTAGATGGGGCCAAGACTCACAGGGAAGTTGGGGAAGGGGTGGCATCCCTTGTGTCCTTGTAAATCCCCTCTCCAGAGGGTTCTGCTGCAGTGACCAGTGTCTGCCAGCTGCCCTGGTGAAACACTTCCACCATGGTCCACTCGAAGTTGCCAACCGTTTGACAACTTGTTCTCAAAATTCCTGAAACTTGGGGCTGGGGCTATAGCTCAGTTGGTAGAGTACTTGCCTCCTATGCACAAGGCCCTTGGTTCCATCCCCCCCGGGGGGAGAATTCCTGCATATTTAACACCTCACCTCCTGTGACTTAGCCAAAGCTAGCTTCTGTGATTGGAGCTATGGAGTTGTGACAATGGGGACAGTTCACATAGGAAGAGCCGCTGCAGACACAATTGGGAGGTGAGGACCATGGGGTAGGGCCAGGGCTGCCTTTTCACCTGGTCTCCCCTCTGCGAAGGCTGGACATTTGTCTATGCCTTCACTCTGTTCTTAAAGATTTATGCAAAGAAGATATCATTGCGCTCATTTTATAAATGAAGAAATTACGACCCAGAGAGATGAAGCCACCATTGGACTCTGTATCCCCAGGTTCCGCATCTTTAGAATAAAAAATATGCAGATCAAAAATACTCAGACAAAGGCTGGGACTGTAGCTCAGCGGCAGAGCACTTGCCTCACATGTATGAGGCACTGGATTCGATCCTTAGCACCACATAAAAATAAACAAATAAAATAAAGGCATTCTGTCTATCTACAACTATCAAAAAAATTTAAAATATACTCAAACAAAATAAAAGAAGAATTTTTTAAAAACCCAAACCACACAAAAAGCGCAACACAACAAGAAAAAAAAATACAATATACAAATGATTTACATAGCATTTACATTGCGTCGGGTATTATAATCTAAAAGGTCTTAGTATTATACATTATAAAGTATATGGGAAGATTGCCGAGGTTCTATGCAAGTACTATGCCGTTTGATACAAGGGACTTGAGCACCCGAGAATTTTGGTCTCTGGTGGGGGTGGGGCTTTGGAACCGTCTCCTGCAGAGACTGGGGTTGACTGTATTTGTTTGCAGTCACATAGTTGCCAGGAAATAAAACGATAGTAGCTAAAACAGGCTGAGCTTCCACTCTGAGCCAGGTCCCTGCTAGACAGCTGGGCTCCTTGCTTAGGTCCCGATCCTGGAAGCAGATTCTGATTTGTTGCTGTGCAAGAGATTCCTTTTGAAGGTGTCCCTGGGTACAGAGACTGACTGGTAAGCGGGGGCAGGTGCGGGGAGCTGGGCAAGGCGTGGTGACTTCAGGCAGTGTCTCCTCCATCCAGGGAGCTGTGCATGGAAAGAGTATCTCAGGAAATGTCCCTCCTGGAGGGGACAGAGCTGGGCTTTCACACTCCCACATCACCAGCCCCTAGCTCTGGGCCACCCCAGGGCTGCATGAACTCCCAGGGACTTCAAGGTGCTCTAGTCCCAGGTCAGGCCTCTGAGTAAGGCTGCTTTTGAGCATCAGATCACAGAGGACCTGGGAACAGACACACTCAGGGTTGAGCGGCAGTGACAGGGCAAGCTCACTCTGCGTGGAGTCCACGTGTAGCTGATGGCCGCAGGTGAGGCTCTGAGTGCTTTGAAGATGGGAAAATGAGGCACAGAGAGGTGGCAAAACCAGCCCAGAGTCACCCAGCTGGTGAACGTCAGGGCCAGACAGAGTCCTGGCGGAGCTGAGGCTCCTTCCCAGTTCCTACTGTCCTCCGGGAGGAAGTGGGGATGGTGCCTGGTGGGGGGGACGGTGGGGGGAGGCTGTCAGCAGGAAGGGGGAGAGGGTGAAGAGACCTGTTTGGACAGAGGAAGAAAAGGAGAGAGTTAGAGAAGGAGAGAGAGAGAGAGTGAGGGGAGAGAGGGGGAAGAGAGAGAGAAGGAGAGAGAGGGAGGAAAAGGGGAGGAGGACCACAGAGGAAGTGCCGCGTGGGGGTGAGGAAGGGGTCCACACAGGGCTCTCCTCCCCTCCCCAGAATACCCTGGGCGCAGTTCTCGGAGCCTGGGTCTTTGTACACTGGGTGAACAGAGGCACCTGTGCCCTCAGGGCGCTATTGAGAGACTAAGTACCTGCGGGGCCCTGGGTCCAGCGAGGCTCACCACGAGGACTGACAACCACAGCTGTTCTCTCTGCCTGGCCAAGAGGTGCCAGCTGTGGGCCCAGATGTGAGCTGGGCCTCTGGCCTGGGGGACAGGGCCTGTGAGGTGCCGAGATGGGCGGTGGCCCTGTGAGGGGACCAGCTCTGGGGCACTTTCACCCCCCCCCCCCCCCCCGGGGTGATTTATTATCCCTTTGGGGGAAATTCCAGAGTGGTCACGTGACTTCTCCGGGTCAGCCCGGCAGAGAGGAGCCAGCGGGATCTGATTCCAGGCCTCCCGGCCCCAGTGTGTGTCGGGAGTCGGGTGTTTTTCGTTTGTGCTTTTCTCTTTCTCTTCCGGGTGTGCACAGATGAACACGTAACTGACCTTCCTTTTTTCCTTCCCTCTTCATCAACATGTGTGAAGGGTCCCCCAGGGCACCCCTGTGCCAGGCAGAGGGTGTTGCAGGGGACTGAGACTGACCTGGTCTCAGGACGCTCACAGCCTGAGGGAGGAGAGAGGAACACTCGCCCCTCTGAGCACTGCAGTGCTGCCCAGGGCCCATGGGAGCGTCAAGGGGAGATCTGAGCTGAACTGGGGTCAGGAGGGCTCCCCAGAGGACTGGCTTTGAGCTGAGGAGGGTGAGTCAACAGACAAAGCAGAGGCTCCGGAGAGGCTTGTATTCACACAGGGCAGCGGCTCGTGCCAAGGCCCTCCTCAGGAGGCTCAGTAAGGAGGCTGGGTGCCTGGGGAGAGCCCAGGGGGGCAGTGGTCTTGCCCAGAGCCTGGGAGGCCTTAGGGCCTTAGTGTGCTTTTTTTTCTTTTTTTGATACCGGGGATTGAACTCAGGAGCACTCAGACACTGAGCCCCATCCCCAGCCCTATTCTGTATTTTATTTAGAGACAGGGGCTCACTGAATTGCTTAGTGCCTCACTATTGCTGAGGCTGGCTTTGAACTTGAAACTGTCCTGCCTCAGCCTCTGGAGCCCCTGGGATCACAGGCGTGTGCCCCTGCTCCCAGCCTTAGCGTGCTTTTACCAGGGAATGTCTCAGCTGCAGCACGGGGTGTGGGCTGAGCGCAGAGGGGCGCAGGAGACTCTGGGAGGCTGCCCTGTGCAGGAGGGAGGGAGACGGGCAGCTGGACAGCACAGTGGCCGCACAGACAGCACGTGGGTCTGCAGCGTGGTGGGCCTGGTGCATGCCTGCTTGAGCATGTGTGTGTGCATATCTGAGTGTGCATGTGACCTCTGTATGAGAATCTGTGTGTCTGTGTAATGCACGCTCCGGGGTGTGAAGTTGTGGGCATAGTTGTGTATTGTGTGTGCTTGCAAACGTGTATGAGTGTGTGTCTGACAGGATGGGGTGGGCGGGGGCTGGAGGCAGCCATGTGTGGCCCTGCCCACACTAGCTGATCCTCAGGCGGTGAGGGAAGCCTGGCTACCGCTGGGGTCCTTAGGTCACTGCCATTGCACTGGGGTGGGGAGGCTCCCAGGGTCTGGGGAGGTCCGGGTTGGAGGATCGAGCTGATGAATGCAGCTGGCTGGGCAGATTGGAGGCTGGGCATATACCTGGATTCCCTGGGCCTCTGTCCCTGGCTCTGTGAAAGGACCTTCAAGACCAGTGCCCAGCAAGGTGCAGGCAGCCAGACCCTTCACTATCTGCTGGTCAAACCCACCTTACACCTGAGGCCCACATTGGGCAAGGGCTCAATGCATGGTCGCCTGGTAAGTCAGTGGCCACTTGGAGCTCAGACCCCGGGCCTCCCGTGGCCGCCTGAGACTGGAATTCCGGAAGCCAGCAGTGGGCTTCCTGTTTCCCAGGTGTCACCTAGAATGCTTCAGCCTGGAGGCCTGGGGACGGTGGCCCCTGTTACCCTGGTCCATTCCCCGGGCATTTCCACAGAGCGTGAAACCTCACGGGATCCCCTCACCGGCGTCCACAGCTGGTACATTCTGCAGTAGTTCAGAGCCAAGAAGGAGCTTCCCTACCTGCTGGCCCCCACCACTGCCCAGTCAGTCCTTTGGCTACGCAAACACTTCAGGTGTGATCCTTTAAAACAAAGGTCGGTCATTTCAGGAAGGATTCGACTTTCTGTCTTGGTTGTTGATCAAAATTGGTTGAAGGGCTGCAGCTGTGGCTCAGTGGTCGAGCACTTGCCCGCCATGCGTGGGACGCTGGATTCGATCCTCAGCACCACAGACAAATAAATAAAGCAAAGGTAAAAGAAATGTTTAAAAGAACTGGGTTGGACTCTTGGTGGGGCCAGTGCATTGGAGGAGGAGTGTTCTGGGGTCGTATCAGGTCTTTGTACTTGGACGGAGGAGCCCAAGCAGGGGAGACAGGTGACACTCCAGGGAGTAAGTAGGTAAGAGGGAGAAGGAAGAAGAAGGTAAGCTGAGGCAGGAAACTGGGGCCACAGCAAACACCCTGTTAACAAACACCTCAGCTGATGCTGAGCACTCCTCAACCAAAACCTTGGTGAATACCCCAGTGAACAGGGGACACTCTAGTCAACAGCAAACACAGCCTAGTTAACTGCTAACACCTTCATTAAGAGTTTTAGCACCTCACTGAACAAGGAGCACCTAGATAGGAGCCAGCCCCTCAGCGGGAACTCGATCCAGCTCTAGGTCAGAGCAAGACGCTCCCTGAGGGGCTGCGGGAGGGGCTCCCCTCTGCTGTCCTCCGGGGGCTGCAGCGTGGGGCCTCCACTCCGGCTCCTTCTGCCTGCCTCACGCCCCACTGGCTGCTGCCTGAGCTCTGCTCTGGACCCCCGGCTCACAAAGGGAAGATGAAAGGCGGCTGGAGCGAGATGCATTATTTAACTCAGGCTCAGGCCCAGCCTCCCCAAGGGGCCTCCAGTTCCTCTTTGTGTCAGAGATGAAAGTCTAGGCAGGAGCATGGGTGAGTGGTGCCCCTTCTCTCCCCGCACCCTCCTTCCTCCTCTCTCCTCCTTCTCTCCTCTGTCCAGCTGTCTGAGTCCAGCGTGCTTCTCCCCTCCCCCACCTGGCGCTCCAACCCTCCTTCTTTCTGGATCCTCCTCTTTGCCCAGCGCCTTTCCTCAGTCTCTCTTCCTCTACTGACTTTCCCACTTCCTGTCTCTGTTTCCACCCTTCCTCCTCCTTTCCCCTCTTTTTGCCTCCCTCCTCACCTCCCTCATCATCCTCCAGATTCAACTCAAGCACCACTTCCTCCAGGAAGCCCTCCCTGACCCCCCAGGCTCTGCATATGTCCCCGTGTCTCATTCCCTCCTGGAACTGTGGTTTTTGCCTTGAGAGCCCCTACTTCTCACGAATGAGGGCTGATCAGGTCCATTACTTAGCATCTCTTTTCCCGGCAGAATGTACATCCCTTGTGTATACATTTCCCATCGTTCTATCTTGGGTTCCTGGTATTCAGTGGGTGCTTAATAATTGGTTCTGGTAACTGCCTCTCTTTCTGCTTTGTCCTGGCTGCCAAGTGCCCCAGCCAGAGGCTCCCCTGCTTGTCTTTCATCTCGCTCCTTGCTCCCCGCCCCTATACCTCCCCCTCGGTTCTCAGCCTGCTGACCTGGGACCCTCACAGTTCCCAGACTGGGCACCAGCACCAGTAAGAGACCTAGGTCCTGAGCCTGACCTGGCCCAAGAAGAGATGCTAGGCATGACCATCCTTTGCTGAAGGAATAAAAGATACAGAGAAAAAAGGCTTTGGCTTCTGGTCCCAGGCACCCCCTGCTCACCAGGCCCTGGGACCTGCACCACCCTGGACCCAGGCAGGTTTCTCCTCCGTCTGGGAAGTCGATGGGAAGATGAGGCTGCGAGACATTCCATGGGAATGTGTTCTTTGGGTCACAGAGTGCCTTGGTGGTGGCTGTGGCTATCAGATATTAGTTTGACACTTTCCTCCCATTGGGCTACCTGGCGTTAAGGGAATAAAAATTCAGTTTGCAGCCCCTGGGAGCCCAGACTGGGGGTGGGGTCCTGGGGCTGCTGGGGATTGGGGTCCAGGGAGCAGAAAATTGATTTTCTTTCTTTCCTTTTTTCTTTTTTTTTTGCAGTGCTGGAGATTGAATCCTGGGGCTCACACATGCTGGGAGAGCACTGTACCACTGAGCTACGCCCCCCGCCCTTTTCATTTTATTTGGAGGTAAGATCTGGCTAAGTTGCTCAGGCTGGGAGTAGCTGGGATGACAGGCCTGCACCACCACACCCAGCAGAGAAAGTTGATTCTTAAAATTAAATCAATTCCTGTGTGGATTATTGAGCACCTACTGCGTGCCAGTACCTATTATATGCCAAGCAGTGTGCAAGGTTCTTGGGCTCCATCAGCAAACAAAGCAGAGCTCTGCTCCTGGATTCCAGTGTGTCCTTCACCTTCCATGCATGAAGCAGCTATGCATTGAGCACCTACTGTGTGCAGGCCCAGTGGCGGTGCCAGGATAGGGCTGTGAACAAGATTGGCATGGCCCTATTCTCGCCAGCTCATGTCAAGAGTGCTCTGATTTGTCTAAGAAAGAGACTGGGGACTAGGTGACTCACCCAAGGTCACCGGAACCAGAATGTGAAGGAGCAGGATCGACACCCAGATCTGTCTGCCTTTGGGGCCCCAATCCTCTGGCACCTGGGGTTCTACCTGTCCTCTTTCCAAGTCTTGGTTTTCCTATCTGTGCTCTGAGTAACCTTGGAGACCACTCAACAGTGTGGGTCAGGAAGGAACATGGGACAGTGGAGGTGGGGGCACCGGTGCCCAGGCTCACAGCCCCTCTCAGCCAGGTCAGCTCAGCCTCTGCAGAACTTTCACTGCCTCGGAGTCCGGAGCTGGTTATTTTTGGCTCCAAATGACTTTTGCATCCATTTATTTGCTGCATTTTGATTTTGCATTCAATTTCTGGTCCATTCATGGAGTTTGCGCTACCTGGGGGACGCGAAATTGAGGCAGCCAGGAGTGTGGTTTGGACACGCTTGACAGCTCCCACTCCTTGGAGGGAGGAACGCTTGACTGACTCCACAGTGGAAGGGCTAGGGCTGGCAGCTGCTTACCACCCTGGCTCTAGCCAGAGTCAGCAGATGGGCCTGCGGAAGCTGGGCTCCTCAATGCATGCAGTCCATCTCCAGAGCCCGTGCCTTAACCTCAGAGCCTGAGAACCCAGCTCAGAGACCAGCTTCTCAGAGCCCCCCACCCTCCTCACCCCATCCTCACCCCACCCCACCCCTGTTGCCACCCTTTCCTCATCTGGAGCCCCTGTGTGCTCAGGAATTTTTGATGACTGCATCTCCACTCGGCCTTGATTTTTGCACACCTGGCTTTGTCATGAGCTACTGAGGCTCATCGAGGAGGTAGGTGGCTATGGGTCCCCAGAGCCCAGCTCAGGGCTTGACATCAAGGGTAAATACCAACCATGATCATTCTCCTCAGGCACCCTGCAGAGGTGATAGAAAGAACAAATGAGTGAGAGTTGCAAACAGACTTTGGGGTTCTGAGGGCAGGGCGGTGTGATGACACTGAGAGGTGACATGACTTGCCTGAGGCTACACAGCAATGATCAGCAAGGTCTGCCTGTCTCCCCACCATAGTGACAGGCAGGGCCTGGTCCCCTGCAGGGCTGGAGGTGAGCCAGGATGGGCTGCCTCAGTACCTCCATCCCCAGCCCACAGCCTTGGGGAGCTTGGGGGAGATGGAGCGTGCCATCTGGGGAAGGGGCCCCCTGACGGAGCCCATATATCACAGTGGCAGCTGATACGGAGAGACCAGAGTGATTTTTCTTCATGGTTTGCAGACAAATGAGGTGAACAGAAAATGGATGGCAACCTTCAGCCGCAAGAGGCCCAAGGCCCAGGGAGCCAGCTGCAGTCACTCGGGCAGCGGGGATCACAGGCAACCACCCCAGCCACCCCCACTCCCACTCCAGGCCGGGGTCCCTGGCACAGGGCGGGAAGGGAGGCAGTGAAGCTCAGGAAAGGGGTGGTGGTCGGGGAGCAGGAGGAGGGAGGGTGTGTGTGGGGGCCTCAGCTTCCCCCTGGTTCAGTTAGAGGCCAGAGACTTTGAAGAGAAGCATTAGAGTTTCAAACAACTGGGATTTCTGGGCCTCTCCTTGTCGCTGCAGAATCTTGGGGCAAGACAGAAGCTCTTTATTCTTGAGCTGATCTCAAGGGACTGGAGGGTCAAGAAAATGGACACAACCCTGGCAGAGGCCTCAGCAGCCCCAAAGGTGCATTTTTCTACTTCAAAACTGTCCTAGAACCTTGAGGCTCAGGCAGTGGAGGTCTTAGACTCTGGAAAGTTTATTTTCCTAGAAACTCAGGTGCCTCACCCTGAAGGCACTAGGGACCACTCTCCACCCACCGGCCCTGCGAGGAATGTGACTTCCTTGGTTCTTCAAGAATGCAAGGGAATTTCCACTTCCGCCCCTCCCACTCGGCTGTCTGTGCCCCCATGTTTCCTCCTCTCCGGGCTGGGTTCCATGGCCGGGGAACACCAGCCGGAGAATGGGGCTGGATCAGTGGGCCCCAAAGAACGGCTTTGTTTTCACAAGTATCATTCGAAATGTGGGATCTTAGAATCTCAAAACCACAAAACAGCATCACTTAATTCTCATCTCTAAGAGGATGGATAAATAAAGACCCGTGAAGTAATAAACAGGATGCACCAGCTATAGGTAATTCATTTGAGCCACCCGTATCGTCGTGGGTAAATCTCAAAGCCATAATGGTAAGTAGGGGGACAAAAGGCAAATTAAGAATTTGGCTGATTTGGTACCATAGATATAAATATCAAGAGCCTACCCACAGTAGGGACACACTCATGAGCATGCATTAAATAGTAAATCATGCCGGGTGGGAAACCCACACACCTACTCCCCCAGAGACTTTCCTTTTTAGAGGGGAGGGAGTTGGAGAGAAGGAGAAAGAACTGTGTGGGAAAGTAGTATGTGGAGGAGGGCCCAATTGTCCTGCAACAATTTGCTTCCTGGAAAAGGTAATAAGTGATAAAAGATGTGTATGGGTTTTGAATGCAGCTGTGATTTATGTGCGTGGGTTTGAGTCTGTCAGTTGCCTAGGAAGTTTTCTAGGGTGGGCTGAGGCTCACTTCTTTTACCTCCAATTCCATTGCTACAATTTATGTTGCTTGTAGCTGGGGTCTGTTCCTGCTCACTGCAGGGGAGCTTTGCACTGAGTCAAGATACCAGAAGAGGCAGATCCCCAGACCTCTCAGACTCTGCTGGTGGAGTGCAAATTGATACAACTACATGGGAAATCAGTTTGGCAGGATCTCATGAAACCCAGTCGTCTGCAATTCCACGCCTAAGGTCAATCCCCAAGAGAAACCCATACATACATACATATATATCTACACACACACACACACCAGCAAACGTGACCGGAATGCTCATAACAGCTCTGCCCGCAATAGCAAAAACCTGGAAATAACCCAAGAGTGGATGAATACATTTACTTTCTGACAAAATAAATTTTTAAAAAGAAATAAATGTTAAGAACTGAAGCAGGTCAGGCATACTTTTAATATAAGTTAAAACTGGAGAGAGGGCACATTGGGCTGAATTATATTATTCTTTGGGTGTTTGAAGGAACTCATAATAAAAAGAGATGGCATTTTTTAAAATCCTGAGTTGTAGCATCTTGGACTTGGAAGACCTGGGGTCTTTGGTGTCGGGAGCGGGTGGAGGTGATCTGGTACCTGGGCAGCCCCCAGCCCTTGACTGTGTGCTCCCTGCAGCGGGATGGCTCAGAGTGGAAGTTGAGCGCAAGCCCAGGGTGAATTGGGTGGAGACATAGACATAACCCTCACCTTTAGATACTGCACACAAGGAAGGGAGATGGCCTGATGTGGCCCAGGGAGAGCTGACAGCAAGGCAGGGGGACCACGAGGGGCCCCAGTGGCTGTTAAAGTGGTGCCAGGTGCCCTGCTGGGAGCACCGCCAAAGGCCTGAACAGTTGTCCCCGAGCAGAGTGTGGTGTGGAATCCATCCTGACAGGGACACGGCAGGCCCAGGCCATTAGGCCAGAAAATGTTCTTCCCCCAGCTCTTCCTCCAGAAACTTGTCCTGTTCACCAAGCCCCTTTCTGGCTTATGATCCGGTCCCCCTACCCCTCTGGGTCATCTGTCCCACATTTCTTATTTTATCTTGGGATGTTGGAAGTCAACCCCAAGGTTCACACATGCCAGGCAAGTGCTCCGCCACTGAGCTGTACCCCAGCCCCCTTCTCTTTATCAGCATGTTTCAGGCAGATGCATTCCTGAACACAGGTCCCTGAGCCTACCTGTGCGTGTGCCTGGTCTGTGCACACGTGTCTACTTCCCCCTCGGTGAGTCCATGTTGCGCCATCCTTATTGCCAGATGTCAACCAGCCCCTTCCTGCTTTCTGCTCCCCTCTCCCTCCCTCCTTGCTCCAGGTGGCAGCAGCAATAGCTGGGGTGGGGAGATTCTACAACCTGGAGCCGTCCCTGCCACCCCACAGCACAGATGAACACGTGGGAGTCATTGGCAGGTGTGTATGCCCGTACCTGTAGGCTCCTGGATCAAGTGTGTGCACATGCAGATGTGTGCACATACCCTATTTTGATTTATGTTCATTCTATTTTTTGCTTGAGTAATACTTGGACATGATGTAAACAAAATTTGACACAATGCAAAATGATCCATAAGAAAGTCTTGGGGCTGGGATTGTGGCTCAGAGGTAGAGCACTCCCCTAGCACGTATGAGGCACTGGGTTCGATCTTCAGCACCACATTAAAAAAAAGAAAATAAAGATATGTGTCCATCTATAACTAAAATATATATGTGTGTGTGTGTGTGTGTGTGTGTATATATATATATATATATATATATATATATATTTTTTTTTTTTTTTTTTTTTTTTAAAGAAAGTCTATGCTTCAGGTTCTGACTTCTAGACGGGTGGAGTAAGGAATTCCCCAAATCTCTTCTTCTATAAAAGCCATGAGAACACTGGAAAAACTCTTGAATACACTTTTTTTGAAATGTGGAAATTAACTAAATGCTTTACAACAAACTGAGAGAAAAGGGACTCTCTAAGCCCCTTCTCAACACACCTCCCCCCATGCATTGCCTCCATCTGCACCCTTTGTAATACCCTTTAAAACAAATGGGTGACATGCATGTTTCCTCCAGTCCTGCAAACCTCCCTAGCAATCTAATCAAACCTGGTGGGGGTGGGGGGAGTTTGTGGGAACCCTGATTTATGGCCAATCAGAAATGTAGGTGACAACCTACTACTGTGACTGGCATCTGAAGTCGAGGGCATCTTGAGGACTGAGTCCTAACCTGTGGGATTTGACACTAGCTCAAGACAGAGTCAAAAACTGAATTGAATTAGAGGACTCCCAGTTGATGTCCATGTGAAGAATTGTGGGGAGAAATCAGCACACCTTTTGGTGGCCAGGAGCACAGAAATATTCTGTGTTGTCAGAATGTCGTAGGAGAAATTGACATTTTTTCCTGTATCACAAAAGCCAAGAGTCTTGCAACCATAATAACTGTGAAAACCAGCAGCCTAGAGGGGACAGAACAGGTTTGGAGTTTCCCAAATATTCCATCCCCAGAGAGCTGTCATTACTTGACCTGTCTGGCAGCTCACTGAGAAGCTTCCTCTCAAAGATTCGTCTTTATTGTACCTGAATCAGAACTTACACTGTGAAACCCACTCTATCCCCAAGGACATTTGCTGAAAACCACCAGTGGCAACTGTTTAACATCATGGCTGTCTGAGATAGTATTAACCAATACTTCAGGCTAACTTTCTTTCTTCTTTTTTTTTTTTTTTGAGGAATGGGTGGAGGACTTAGAAAAGCTCCAACCTATTCCCAGTAATCTAGAAGATCATGTCCATGTGTGTGCCCAGGAAAGGCATGAAAAGGCTACAGTCCTCCCTCTCTGACTGACCTGAGTCTTTCCAGATAGGAAGTAAAAACTAAGGCGGATTGTTTTTTTTTTTAGTTGTAGATGGACACAAAATCTTTATTTCACTTTTATGTGGTTCTGAGGTTTGAACCCAATGTCTCACGTGTGCTAGGCGAGCACTCTACCACCGAGCCACAACCCCTGTCCCCTAAGGCAGAGTTTTAAACTCTCCCAGCACACACACAGCTCCTGGGCAAAGGTTGTAAGATTTGTTGGCTTTAGGCATTTAAGAAAATCTTTGTCTGATCACTAAGCTCACTAAAAAAGAAACTTCCATGGGCAGACATGACGAAGAATACAGACTTCCCAGAATTGGTCTGGGAAAGTCAGCAAGCAAGCAAACGTCAGCAGCAACAACTACAACAAACAGAAAAACTATAAGCTTATAAACTCTAGGGGGGTGCACTGACTTCTAGGGCCCCATGATGTATTATCTGAAGTGTACAGTTTAAAATAAAATAAAGAGAACATGCAAAGAAACAGGAAAGCATGTCTTATACAAAGGGGGGAAAGCAGCCAACAGAAACAAACTGTTCCTGAAGAAGCCCGATCTTGAACTTTAAGAGTTTAAACCTGCTGTTTTAAATATGATCAGAGAACTGAAGAAACATATGTCTAAATGATTGAAGAAAAGTGTGGGAATGATGTCCTACAAATAGGGAATATCAACAAAGAGAAATTATTTTTTCAAAAAGTAGATATTCTAGAGTTGAAAAGTACAATAACTGAAATGAAAAATTCTTTCCATAATGGATGGAATGACTATATAGAAGATCCAGAAGAAAAAAAGATGTGAACACTATGGGCTAGCTGTGCCTAAACAACATCTGTGGACTATTTCATCCAACAACATCATTCATTTCAAGGACTCATGGAACATTCTCAGGACAGATGATATATTAGCTCACAAAGCAAATCTCATAAGTTTAATAAGAGAATTTGAATCGAACAAAATATCTTTTCTGACCACGTGGAATAAAATTAGAAATCAATAATGAAAGAACTTTGGTAAATTCACAAATAAATGGGAATTAACACAATACTAAATAATTGATGAGTTAAAGAAGAAAACTAGAAAAATATTTCCAGATAAATAAAAATGAAAATCCAACACACCAAGACTTACTGACTCCTGATGCACAGCTTACAGGAGATTTTATAGCTATGAATTAACCAATATTTAAAAAAATAAATGATGACAAATCAGTAACCTAACCTTCCCCCATTAAGACATTAGAAAAAGAGGTCTGGGGTTGTGGCTCAGTGGTAGAGTGCTCGCCTGGCACGTGTGAGACACTGGGTTTGATCCTGAGCTTCATATAAAAATAAATAAATAAAATAAAGGTATTGTGTCCATCTATAACTAAAAAAATATTTAAAGACATTAGAAAAAGAGCATTAGGGATGGGACTCAGTGGTGGAGAGCTTGCCTAGCATGCATGAGGCCCTTGGTTTAATCCCCACCACCACCACCACAACAGAGAAATTAGAAAAAGAAGAAAAACAAAATTAATTTAAAGTGAGGAGAATGAATTATTGAAATGAATTAATAAATATCAGGGATGAACTAAATAAATGAAGATGCCACTAGGTTGGGAATAATAATAATAATGAACCACAGAGGGTGTTGGTGAGGATTTGGAGAAACTGGAAGCCTTGTACATTACTGATGGAAATGTAAAATTGGTCAGCCTCTTGGGAAACAGCTGGTCAGTTTCTTGAAAGGTTAGACATAAAGTTATCATCTGGCCCAGGAATTCTGATCTTGGGTCTGACAAGACAAATGCAAACACATTTTCACAGAGAACTTGTTCATGTATGCTGTTAGCGGCATCCTTCATAATAGCCCAAGGGGGGAAACGACCCGAATATCCATCAGCTGCTGAATGGGCAGACACACTGTGGTATGTCCACAGGCCACAGTGTCATTGAGTCATGAAAAGGAAGATGGTGATAGGTGCCACAAACGATGGCCCTTGACACCATTATGCTAAGTGACAGAAGACGCGAAAGGCCATACACTATACGATTCCATTATAGAGATCCCGCATAAGGAAATCTATGGGAACAGGAAGAAGGTTAGTGGTTGCCGAGGACTAGAATCGGGGGGAACTGGCGTGTGGCTGCTAATGGGTCTGGCCTTCTTTTTGGGGTGATAAAAATTTGGGGGGTTAGATAATGGTGATGGAGGTGCACCTTTGTGAATGTGCTAAGGATGCTGAACGCACGCTTTAAAGGGTGGATTTTATGGCATGTGAATCCTATCTCAGTAAAGAGATTGTTCAAATCTTTCCCACGTCATTTCCTCCATTTCTCACGCACACCCTTCGGAGACACACTAGCCCCATGGCCGCACATATGTGGACATAATATTTCATTATATGGAAGACTCCTCCAGTGTGATGTTATGTGTGTATCCTAATCCTGTCCTTCCCTATGGTCCCTTTTGGACAGGCCCCACCTATGCTAATGGTGCTCTGTGTTTCTGTCTAAGGTGTCACCTGGGTGTGCTGAGCCTGGAAATGAGGGGCATTCAATGCCCAGGAGTGGCTCTCCCTCCACCAGCGAGAAACACCCTAATTTCCTTGATTCTGAAGTGTGTTCCACATGGTCTCTTAGGAGAACTGGGCATCAACAGAACCGAGTCCCAAGGACCCCTGGTGGCAACTCACTCATGAG